ACATATCATATATACATATCAGCATATATCAATTCTATCAATACATACATACATACATACATGCATGCATGCATACATACATATATACATACATATATACATACATACATGCATGCATGCATACATACATACATACATACATACATACATACATACATACATACAACTCCCTACTTATCAGCGACTTTCCAGGATTTGTCATGTTTTCTTGGTTTCGGCCTCTGATTCTTGGTGGTTTGTGTGATTCAGCATCCCGTCATCACGGCTTGGCTGAGGAAGTGGGTTTTAGCTGAGACTGCCATCAAGAAGACCATGTCCGTAGAGGAGTGAATCTCACCGCTCTTGTTTGTTGGGTTATAGGTCATGGGAATATCATGGGCATATATATATATATGTATATATATATGTATATATATATGTATGTATGTATATTATATATATATACGTATGTATATTATATATATATGTATGTATATATATATATGTATGTATATATATATATATGTATGTATGTATATATATATATACATATGGAAATACCAGTGAATATATGATAGGACTCAACATTTTTTTCTGGCCGCCACTTTTTCTGTGAACGCTTTTGAGAGATTTTTTGAGACAGAGGCAACCAGAATCTGGACATGGGTCATGAGTCATGACTGGGTACCGTTGAGAGCCCTGTGGGTTGGCAATTGCGTGACTCAAATATCCTGTAGCAGCCCAGACAGATTGGCAATATTCAATCATGATCCAAAACGAGGATGCAACCAACAAACGCAGGGGATATGACCAGTGAACACGAGAATCTCACCAATTGAAGATTTTTATGGGGGATGATAGATGAGAGCCCATCAGCCCAACGGTGTCTACTAACAAAGGTGTCGACCCGGCAAATCCAAGCTGTGAGGACAGCTCAAAATCAGGGCACAATTTAGGTCGCTTTGCACTGGATTTTGGAAGGCCTTGTCTTAGCTGGACTTTCCCTCGATTTTTCTGGTTTCGTATTCTCATCATTTCTGGGCCCAAATTATGGGGCTTTTGGTTGTGTGTTGGGGATGGGATGTTTGTTTACTGAAGGGTATCTCCCCTTTTTTGTCCGAAAACCATGGAGAATCCGAAGAAACTGCAGGAGATGCAGGAGGACTTGCGGCGGAGGGTAGTTGGCGCGATGAAACATGGCCTGCCGGTCCACGTAGCCATGGCGACGCTTGGACGAAGGATGGGAAGGAGTCTTCATCCAACAATTGAGAACGGGGATTATCCAACAGTTGGAGATAGAAATCCATTGGTTCAATGGGGATTTTCGATTTCCATCCAACAGTTGGAGATAGAAATCCGTTGGTTCAATGGGGATTCTCGATGATTTTCGTTTTTTTGCAAGAATTTTGTCCCGAACAACAACCGCCGACCCGGCCGAGACCTCGACCCCTCGAGCCCTCTCGACCCAGGAACAGTGCTGTGTCCTTTAAGGAAAAGTTCTGCTCAGAGAAAGGCCTCCCCGCATGCTTTTTCAAAGTCAAGGACCGGCATCGGAATGGTAACCAGTGGTAACTATGGGGGTGGATGCAATGGCGAGATATCAACAAGTATCCCAAAGTGAGAGATTTTAAGACAAGAAAACTCCGGAACTCAACCAAAAACAAGCTTGCAGCTTGCCAGGACCTCTGAAAACCATTGAAAATCCAGATTTCGATGATCAACTGTAGTTGGGGACGCCAATGTTTCTTTTTTCAAACAGGTTTTTGGACCAAATAAGATCCCATGGTTCGGGATCGATTTTTGTTGATCCCAAAATTTACCTTTCAGGTAAAAATTGACAGGAACCCCCATGTTCGGTAATTGTTAATTCATTATATAATTTGGTCATTTTCAATTGAATGAAAAGGCAAAGTTGACAGGAAACTGCATATGATTATTTGGCTGGTAAATTCATAGGTTTCCTTTTTCGGATTTTCCTTCAAACCAAGCAGTTGTGACTTGAGTCAGGCTTTCACACCTGGATTCTGCTAATCAACATGGCAATTGGAAAGTGATGAGACAAACCACCTGTAAATGTTTATGATGTATATTATGCCCATAGAGAGAAAGTATGTATCTAGATTGTTATTGACTATGTTGATTTTCTATAAATGGTCATAACTAGACAAACATCGAGATACAGTCAATGGACACAAATGGGAGATTGTCCATTACCAAGGTAGATACCCCGGAAGGGTATGTCTCTTTGATAGCGAGATCGTTACATCCCCCTTCCGCAGGAGTTCAAAGGCGAGACCGAGAAGGATGTGAAAGACCGTCCCTGGCTATGATTGTTATTCACAATGGCTAATTGTTGTATTGTTTCTATTATTCTGTTATTTTTTTAAAAAAATTATCATGGTCAAAATTTCCAGCCCTTTAAGAGACAATAGGAATTGACTGGAGATGGGTCAAACATGGGGGCACAATGGACCTACAGATGGGGCATTTTTGGGACACTTGGGGGCCGAAAAATTGACCCATGCCATCCCATACACAAATAAGCACGGATTGATCAACAATGGCTGAACCCCAAAGTGATATAAAGTGATGACGATCCGCTATGACAAAGCCACCTGCTTTTTTCACCAAACCAGGATTTATCAATCCAGGCTTTTTTCATGATAAGTGTTGAAGCAATCCGAAGTCTAACATGGACCCCAAGAAAGTGGCTGAACAGTGTAACATGTGTAACATCCCAGTAACATCCCAGTAGATCTCCTAGGCTCCTAGGGGTCTACTCCTAGGGGTGGTCCCAGGTTGGGTCCCAGGTCCTTATCGAAAGATGGTGAAGGATGAAGATCTCAAAGACTGGCCTGGCATGCCTGGGTACATCAAGGAAGGCGCCGTGTGGCACTGGGGCACTGGTCAGGTATTTTCATATTTTAATTTCTGTCCAGAACTAGGAATATGTATGAACATGTACTTATATGTTATAATATATATATAATATAATAATAATAATAGTAATGATAATAATACTACTATATATATACACATCACATATATATATATACATACATATATATGTATGGTATATATATATATACATGGTATATGTATACATGGTATGTATATATATATATAGAGTGTATATACATATATATGTATAATACGTACTGCGCGGGCTATCTAGGAACAACGCGATGGGACATCACTATTGGCATCGTCATCTTGAATGAAAACTCCGGGAGGTTTTGTTGCAGCAGCCGTATCCATTCACCACTGCGGAAACTCATGGGATTTCTCATGAGGATTTCCATTGAGTTTGTGTTGGATAAACTCCAACATTTTTTGTAAGATGTTGGGGCCAATCATAATTTAACAAAACACCATCTCTGGAGAGGGGCGGACAAGTCATGTGGTGTGGAAGCCCAAGGGCTCAAAAAAGTCCTGGCGGTGAGGCTTTCATGTGGTGGTCACCACGGATTTCAGCATGGAAAACTGCAAGGAGTTTCTGACGGATGCGCTGCCTTTCCTAGAAGATATGGCAATCATTGAGATTGACCTAGCGTCCTTCACATGATTCGGCTTGGGCACGTTTCATCAACTTTTTTTTTAGAGTGAAACATAAGCTGAAGTGATGGTCATACATTCAGAATCTCACCGAAATGTGTGGTTTCTTGGAGCAATTGACCCTCCGAAAAGTGGAAATGTCTTAGAGACTGAAAACCTCTAGTGACTCTAGCGTTGGACTCCTAACTTGTGAAGAGTGATGGTGGCAGACCTTGTCAGATGTCTCCCTGACATCTGACTCTCAAGCTTGGAGATCCAAAGTGACCACAAGCTTTGTAATGTTTAGCACATACACGGTGAATCACACCACTTTGAAATGGACCTGGACGCCCAGAGCCATCTGGAATAATGACCCAAAACCCATAGCGTTTCTGATTTTGATCGTTTCAGCTGTGTTCCTAACTCAAGGGACTTCAAACGGGCTTGGCTGCTGTTTGCAGTCAACGGGCGCCTTCAAAGACTGCGGTGTGCAAAAATCTTTGGGACTTTCGGTCCCTTTCTGTTGGACCTGGTGGCAGCTAATGACAGGTGGTCAAGATTCTCCCATTCCATTACTGGAATCCTCGTTGATAGGGAGATATAGAGGGAGGATCCTCCAAAATATTTTCTGATTCTGCCAAGAAACGAGGTCATGGTGGACATTTTCTTTGCGGTGGACATGATTCTCAGCCCGAAAACCCAGCGAAGCCTGAACAGGGAAGGAACAGGTCTATCGTTGTTTCCCAACGGGGTATAGTTGGTACTAGACATATACAGATGTACAACTGTAGATGTGTATATATATAATATATATATATAATATATATATATATAATATATATATAATATATATATATAATATATATAATATATATATATAATATATAATATATATATATATAATATATATATATATGTCGATGTACATTTACACATGTAATTGCTACACTTGGCACCCTTCACACCCTGAACTGGGCTTCCATCTTGGCTGCGCCAAGGTTTTCGATCCGCTTTCCAAGACCCCAACGGCTTGCTCAACACAGTGCCCTCCGACATCGCGAGGCCAGCGTCCAGGAGTCGCCCCAGATCTCAACTCATTGTGGTGGAAAATCCCATGGAAAACCCCAACCGCGCAAAATGTTGGGAACATCCTGGGCTGCTTTTTTTTTTTTCCACCAACCAGATGTGAATAAAATGATGAGGTTCCTGAGGCTCCCAAGAACCAATCTCCCAGGGTGAAACCAGTGGCCAATCATTTCATGGCTTTGGAATACGATGCAATAGGGAAGCCACTGTGATGTTGGTGGAGCTAACTCTATGTTCCTATTTTGCCCTCCAGTAATCAAACCTGGCAATGGAAAATCCGCCATTTCTAGATGTTTGCCCATTAAAAACTCCATGAAAAAATTGGGTATTTCTCAGCCATGTTTGAGTACCGGAGGGTACATCCCAAGTATCTTCCCATTGCATCCCAAGTATATCCCAATTATACGTATTTATATCATATATCCCCATATAAATCCCTATAAAATCCAGCGGTGGTAAGCCATCATCTTTAGTATCCCCGCCGGCACTTTCGGCCAAGGCACTACATGAAGACCTACTTCTTGGTGGATTTTTTTATCCACCATGCCCATCGATCGGGTAGTGGAGGCCGTTTGGGTCCAAGAAAAAAAAAACAGTGGCACGAAAGTATAGGATATCTTGTTAGTAAAGCAATGTCATAAACCACCCATGTGGATTGATGGTTTATACTGTACCAGCCATAAAATTGGTAAAATTGGGGATGGTTTACTATTGCTTTACTAGCATTAAAAAAACAAATCATATATGATAATGACAACAATACTCATAATAATCATCATTTTCTATATGTACATGCACATTTAAAAACATACATAGTTATTTTCAATGGGTCGGCTCTACTTTTCCTCCGTTTCGGTTTGATCCCCAAACTTTGGTCCAGTGACTTTTCGAAAAAAAATGGGGACATATCATTAATATCCACTGATAACGAAGATATTCATATCACTTAATTACTTGGGAAAGATGAACTTTAACTCAATTAGTTTGATATAAATTGATATAACTGATATATCTTATACACTGGTTGATGGCCTGTTTCCGCTGCACAAATGCTCTGAAATCGCGTTGCGAAGATCGGAGGCAGCGTCGGAGGCCTCCAACTCGACCGTGCTGAGAACCTTTAAGCTCCCTGGCCGAAGCGGCAGTGAAAACGGCAGTGAAAACAGACCATTTTATGGGGAGATATTGAAATAAACCAACCAATAGATGATAAGTGGTTGGGTTTGCGCCCAAAAATCTGGGATAATCTGGGATACTCCTATCCAATATATGGCAATTTCGATTCAGAAAATGATGATTCAGAGGCATGGGGTTTTGGGCTGCCCTTGCCAGACAAAGCCAAGGATTAATCGGCCCCCACTTTACCAAAAGAAAATCTTCCCCATCTCAGGAAACCAAGGCTGTTAATGCCAAGCATGATGAGTTTGGCGCCTCTCCATGGGATCAAGACACGGACTAACCGACTAACCAGCAACGGAGAGTTTTTAGTGACATCTATGGCTCGTGGTTGGGGGGTTCAACAGGCTTCAACCATGAACCATGGTTCACCAGTGACATTGTGGATTTAACCCATGCCATAAACAAACAAGTCATTGGGGATGGTTTAGTCTTGGGTCTACCACATTTTTCATGGGATTCATTCGCATCATTTACCCTCTGGTAATTTAACATAACTAGGGAAAATTTCAATTTTCAAAAACTGCAAGTCATCATATAAGTCATCATAAATCATAGAACTAAATCCATAAAAGTTATCATAAATCATAGAGCTAAATCCATACTGGGACATATATTTTCTATAGTAAACTGCTATATATTCGCATCATTTACCAGCAAAAATGGTGGATTCATCTATACATGTACCAACCTTTTTCCAGTATCCAGATCAGCTTTATCCCATTCATCCGATCAAATATCCAGAATTAGCCATTCTTATTGTTATTAATCCATGATCATCCATGATCAATATCCCATTTGCCATTATCAATCCATGATTAATCCATTATGGATTAACACATGATTAATTCATGATTAACCCATGATAATCCCATGGGAAATCCTGACATTCCACCGACTGACGTGAGGCTCACCCGCTTCGCGCGGCTCTTTCGACTGATGAAGCTCCTGGGCTGGAATATTTCGTGGGAATTTCCACATTGGGACCATAGAAAGGAATGATTATATTTGATTGTGTGTATATATATATTATTAGTATATGATATAGCATATATAATTATATATATATAGAGGCATGATGATACATAACTGGCTTTTGACTTTTTAATAAACCACAATAACTGTAGGTATGACTATTGAGGATGCGTGCAACTATTATATAATAACTATCCAAAAACAACTATTGGGGACTATTGATGATTATTGAACAACTATGGGTATTACCCTCAGGTAATCAAACATCGATTGCTGAAAAAATCACCATTTGGTTCGATGATTTTCCAAGCTAGACACCTCCATTTATAGAGGATTTTCCAGCTAGCAATGTTTGGTTGTGGGACATTCAGCAACAATGGCTTCATTATGGTTTATTATGAATGTCAGCAAAATAGACCATAAATTCCCACAAACCATAATAAACTATCATGAACCAAACAGTTGAATGGGCTTATCATGGTTTCTTCATTTTTCAAACAATAAACATGTTGATCTCAGTGGTAAACTGAGTTTTTTTCGGCTTTGAGGCTGGTTCGCCCCATTGAAAGCCCGTTTTTTTGCTGTATGTTTTGCAGATTTAAGGCATTTTTTTGACCCTTGCCAGAAGCCTTGCCATATTTTGGGGGATGTACTATCTGGTTATTTAACATAGCCATGGAAAATGGCCCATAGAAATAGATGGTTTACCTATTATTAGCATGGTGATTTTCCATGGCTATGTTAGTCATAACCAGATGGTATCCCAATGAAAAATCCCATTTTCAGACGGTCAGCCACTAGGTGACCAGCCACGTTACGCTGAGGCTTGCACGCATGTTGAAGCTCTTTAAGCTGGTTGAGTCTGCAGAGTCCGGTGCCCCTTTTTTTTGTCCAAAAAAACAACGTGACCATGACTTCACTCACAGACTTGGGGGTATATGGTATACATGTAAAATGTACAATATATATATATAATGTATATGTATATATATATGTATATATATGATTATATATGTATAATTATATATTATACATTATATTGTATATATGATTACAATTACATATCTCTAAATCAGTACACACCAAAACCTTTGATTTAACATGTCTTTCACCTTTCAACACCCTTCGAGGGATCATGGCTCAGGGGTTAAGCATAGTTATCATCTCCAAATCATCTTGGAACATGTCATGTATCCCCATTGTATCCTCGTTCCCACGATGCTTAGTTCTATACCCCTTTGGTTACAATTCACAAACCAATTTTGGAGGAACCCAAGAATTAGCCAGTAGTGTTGATTGAATTCCTAGTTTCATCGCTTAAAATCCCAACGGTTGCTTGTAACAAATCTCCTTTTCTGTTGGTTCAAGGGGATGCTTTAGACCTTATATAAACATATATATATACATATGAGCATATGCACATACACATACATATATATATATAATTATATGCATATATACACATATATACACACATATACACATATATACACATATATACACATATATACACATATATACACATATATACACTTATATACACATATATACACATATATACACATATATACACATATATACACATATATACACATATATACACATATATACACATATTACACTTATATACACATATATACACATATATACACATATATACACATATATACATATATATATATATACACATATATATACACGTATATATATATATACACATATATACACATATATACACATGTATACACATGTATACACATATATACAGATACATACACATGTATATATATATATATAGAGACATATATACACATATGTATATATATAGCGATCCCGATTATATCCCCACTACCCTCTGGCAATCAAACACGGCAATGGACAATGCATTACTTGTAGATGATTTTCCGAGCTAGAAACCTCCATTTATAGAGGATTTCCAGCTGGCCAATTATTTGTTGTTGATTTCCCCACTTCCATTAATAGATTATTTTCCGAGCTATAAACCTCCATTTGTTTTTATTTCCCCACTTCAATGCCCATTTTGTTCGCAGCCATTGCCAGTTGGTTCAATTCCTGAGGTCCTCGGTGGAAGTGTCGCCGCTGCTGCTGCGATTGATGGTTCTGCCCGGGAACCCTGGCGGATGGTTCTGGGTGTGGGAGTGGGTGAAAAAAGGCAGGCCTTAAAAAAAAGGGTGTCACCAAGAAAGTTGGGATTGAGGTCACCAAAAAGTAAGATTTAACCCGTAAAGTTAGGATTTAACCTGCAAGAATGGAGTTTCTTCTTTTTTTTTGCATCAGAAATGCGGGTTTTAATGATGGACCATGGCCAGCTCCATCCTTGACGCTTGTTTTCGTGCTGCGACTTTCCAGTACCACCACAAGAAAAGATCCCTGGTGATTAGTTGGATTTGCCCAGAAACGGGGAATCCCTTAGACTTGCCATGAAACGAATGGAGAAAGTGATGAGAAACAATGGGATTTTGGGGATACAAGTAGCTTCTGTGTTTGGACAACCCCCATCACAGTGAAATCACCAAAAAACATGGGGTGTGAGCATTGAAAAAAAAAAGTTCAAAAATGGGGACTTCAGTGAGACATTGGGATTTAGTGTGTGAAAATAAGATGATACATGTTGTGTGGTTGGCATAAAATGGCTATCAACCACTGCAAATTGTGGATGTTAGCCATCTTCAACGGGCTTGGTTGATGGTACTAGAGATTCCGCTTCGATTTAGTAGCCTCGGTGATTTTTCACAGAGCTATGGAAAATCAGCAGTTTGAATAGGTAGACTAGGTAAATTCTGTATGCTATGTTCAATTGCTGGAGGGTAAGGATTAGTGATACGTGGAATCCTTAGCCCACGGGTTTGATATGGTCGCCCAAAAAAGTTCGGATCTGGTGGATATATATCTACTACCAACATGCAACCGCGGGGAGCCTACGACTGACCCATTCCCATGTAAAGTCCCGGTTTTTGGTTGATTATCATACAATCTTTTCATGGTATCCGCAACTCAAATCCACGGCATTTAAATGGTCAGTCAATTTGATGGCAATACCAAACACCTATTTTAATTCCAGCTGGAGGTATGAACATGTATTCACCAGGACCAGCAAAGCTACCCTCTGGTAATTTAACATAGCTATTGAACATTGCCCATTTAGTTCGTTGATTTAGCCATTCAAAATGGTGATTCTGCAGATTCTCAAAGTCATCAACTGGGGGTTTCCATATATGGGGGATGGTTTACAATGGAAAATCCCATCTAGAAATGGATGATTTAGGGGTACCTCCAGGAAATCTCCAACTGACGGGAGGTTTATGAACGTCTGCTTCCTGGCACATGTGGTGGCCTGTGCCTGGCATTGGCTTACCACCTTCCCGAGCCTCCCTGATGCGCGGCGTCTCAGGTAGGGGTAGAACTTCAAGAATTCATGGGAATAGCATGGGAATATTATTCACCCCGCTTCGCGTGGGGTGGCCGCCCACACCGCAGGTTTATTTAGGTCCGTGAGAGGGGCTAAGGGTGGTTTTCCCCCGTGGGGGCTCCCCAAGCTAAGAATTTTAACTTTCCCCCCCCGTGGGGGCTCCCCAAGCTAGGGAATTTTCACTTTTCCCCCCCGTGGGGGCTCCCCAAGCTAGGGAATTTTCACTTTTCCCCCCCGTGGGGGCTCCCCAAGCTAGGGAATTTTCACTTTTCCCCCCCGTGGGGGCTCCCCAAGCTAGGGAATTTTCACTTTTCCCCCCCGTGGGGGCTTCCCAAGCTAGGGAATTTTCACTTTTCCCCGCCGTGACAGCTTCCCAAGCTATGGAATTTTCACTTTTCCCTCCCTTGGAGGCTCTCCAAGCTGCGGAATTTCAAATAGCTAGACAACGACGCCTAGATAGTCCCCCAAATCCCGTGTTCTTTGAATGTGTTTCCATGTTTTTGCAATGGTTTCCTTCAAAGCACGGTACTTTACACTTTTGTCGCCATAAAACCGGTCGAAAACATCATGTTCGACAATGCTTCCAATTCCCTTATCTCCCCAACCGTTGAAAATACCGCTATTTACAGTGTTTTCTTCAATTTTTCCATGTTCCAATGCCGGTAGCCAACTCCAACATATATATAAGAAATCCTTCCAAAACATTGTTTTTGACAGTGTTTTTCCAATGTTTCCAGTCAAACAGACGGTAATTTACACGTTTTTTGCCATAAAGGCAGTAAATCCTTCCAAAACATTGCTTTTGACAGTGTTTTTGTAATGTTTCCAGTCAAGCATACGGTAATTTACACGTTTTTTGCTATAACGTCAGTCCAAAACACTTGTTTTTGCAGTGTTTTCAATGCTCTGGCATCCAAAAACCCTGCAAATTCTTGCTATGTACAATGTTTTTTTTCATTTTTGGCCGTTTTTCCATTGCCGGAAAGCTACCAAAATGACCCAAAATTCCATTTCAATACCCTCTTGCGCTCAGACACCCAAAAATCCTCGAAAAATGTCGAAAACACCACCGTATTCTGGTCTCGGTGCGAAACCGTTTTTGGGCCCCCCCCCCAGCTAAAGCTGATATAGCGACTGCTATATTAACAAATGTCATTGAGCATTTAGTGTTGCTGTTTTGCCCCCCAATAAGCACGCCTTCACCGCCAAAGCGGTGTGGGCGGATTAGGTCCCAATTCTAGTTGCTGATACATTTTTTTTTGGATCTGGTTTTTACAGATGTTAAAATGATGGGTTTTCGCTGGATGGAATACCCTCTGGTAATTTAACATAGCTATTGAAAATGGCCATTTATAGTTGAGTTTTCCCATTAAAAATGGTGATTTTCCATAGTTATGTTAGTTTACCAGAGGGTACCTGAAAATGGGGGGGCACTTACCGCTTTTCTTTATGTGACAATAAATTGATGGGAAGATGATCTCCACGGACGATGCTCTTCAGCAGTTGCATCAAGGGCAGGCGACTGAACCGGGAATCAGCGACTGTGCGGTTGACGAAATTTTCTTGAAGATGGGTCCCCCCAAAATGACAGAAATGATAATTATATCAATATAATATGTATATATATTATATTGTATTATATATAATATATAATATATATAATATATATGATATATATATATATATCTATATATAATATAGTTAATATATAATATATATATATATACATATATATTATATATATATAAACTGATATATATATATATAACTACATAGTCACCTAGCGAGAGGAGTCTCATGGGTTTGAGGATCCTCTATCGGGCCTTCTCTAAGGCCTGTGCATCGGGGCTGCTGGGCTGTTGGGGTGAGAGTTCCTCGTTGACCTGGCTCTCTGCACCTGGGCTCGGACCTCGGAAAGAGATTTCGATGTGGGATGGGTCTGGTTGGGGACCTTGGATCTAGAACCAGAGGGGTAACCATAGTGGTCACCATAGTGGTGGTCAATTCTTGTTCTTATTCTCTTTTTTGGTTCTTTCTTTTTATTCAAACGAATAGCCTCCAGTGATTTTTCAGATGGCCATGGTTGCCATGGTTGCCATTCAGCATCCAGCTCTCGGCAGGGGAAGCTACGACGTGGATGAAGACTTCAAGAAGTACGTGGCAGCCATCTACTGGGTGCAGGGGCCCAGTAAGTACTCCTTGGGTCAAACAAGTGGTGGTATAAGACCAACCACCGTGACATTTTGTGAAGACTTTTTTTGGGATATACAACAAACCATTTGTGGGAAATACACACAGACATATATATATATATATATAACCATAGTAGATATGCCAAGAAATAGTCCAATATGGTCATAATATGAGAGAAAAACCAATGGAACATGGGGACATTCATGGAAATATGGTGATCTCATTCGAAAGAAAACAAACACTATAAATGAGGATATATTCGAATTTATCGGGGATATACGAACAAACATATATGATAGTCCCAAAGGTGGGAGGATGAATCCTGCCATAGCTTTGTAGCTTCAGCTATGGCTAGTAAGGGTTGGGCAGGCGATCTCTGGGCTTCCAAGTCCAGAGCCAGGACTCATGAGTGTTGTAGCGAAAAGCGAGAACCGCGTAGTGTTGTGTACTCTAACACAACAAGCCGCAATCCATCATATGTGCTTACATTGTATATATTAATACACCATATTTAACTGTATAAATCCATCATATGTAGTATACTATATACCATTATATACCGTATGTTGATGTATCTTCTACATATCTCTTACCTATCGGTAGTCATGGTCCCAGGTCTTCACCACGATGACCACGGTGGGCTATGGCTCGGATGCCCAAAAAAAGTGGGGGATGTCCGCTGTGTGCATTTTCCGATGCAGATGTACAATGATATATTGAACAATATTAACTAGACATATTGAACAATAGTGTACAATCATGCTTTCAACTAGACATATTTTCATGCATACATAGTAGTATGGATATCGAATTATGAATGAATGATATTGATATGTAAGTTACTGTAAGATCTTAAGGTATGATATTCCTGTATGAAAGCCAGTGTTCCGATCACCATCCTACATCTTTTGCATGGATGGCCTGAGGCGACTTCTTCCCGATGAACAACTGGGAACGGGCCTTCGCAGTGCCTTGGCAGATCAACATCGTTTTGGTATCGTGATTCAAGGCATTACCCTCTGGTTATTTGATGTTATTTTAGCATCACTTTGCGAAACCATGGCCTGATGCCATGGCCTGTTTATAGATCACCTATCCAAAAAACTGATGATCCATAAACAAACTCTCAATTAGCAAACTATTTCCATACAGATTTGCTGTTTAATGATCAATTTCCATAGCAAACTGTCAATTTTACGTCCTCAGGTGGTTGTGATGATCATTGGAGCCACCGTTTTTGGCCCGGGACCTGAGAAACGATGGGACCACGATGCCAAAAAACGGCCGGGCCATGGGAGATCACGCTGAATCAACAACGGGGGAAAGACGAAAGAGGCATTATGTATATGAGATACTGTACTGTATAAGATAGATGGATAAGTTATGGGATCTTATAAGTCACGAAAGGTAGCGTCAGCTACCTGAGTTCTCCGTGCTTCAGCACAAGCTTAGGGGGTATTGGGGGGCCAGCCCGTGCAATTCATGGAATTCTCGCCGTTATGTATTGGATATCAATTATAAGGGGGGGGGGCCCCCCCCCCCCCGAAAATGGTCATGGGTTCAATTCCCACGGGTGACGCGGTCACGGGCCCCCACATTAGAGGCACACTTTCCATGAGGGAGATGTCCCTGTAGTCCAGCATAATTGGTATGCTTCAGCCTCAATAACAGTTGCTGCAAGGGGTCTTAAAAAGGGGTTTTAAATAAACCCCTTTTCGTGCATCATTTCACGCAGCACAAGACACAGTGTCATGCAGTCATGCTCTGGATAAAATCATCTTAGACTGCGCAAAAACGTTTTTGGTGTATCATCTTAGGGGCGCAGCATTTTGACACCACTCCTCTCCCACTACACTACCTTTCGTCCGCCTCCGCCTGCTCTCAAGTTATAACTGTACTTATCTAAATAGATAGATAGATGAGATGAGATGAGATGAGATGAGATGAGATGAGATGAGATGAGATGAGATGAGATGAGATGAGATGAGATGAGATGAGATGAGATGGATAGATAATAAATGAAAATAACTGATATTGATGCATGGGGATATGCATATACAATCAACAATATACTGATCCAGAAATGGCTCGATGACAACTTTGACCGGAAATGCTGCTGAACTTCAACGTCCACTTTTGGGGTCAAGGGACCTTGAACCAAGGGAGAGAGTTCAGACCTGTCTTTGTTGATTGGAGAATGGAGATCGATTTTTTCAATTCGGATGATTATATACATGGAACCAATTGAAACCATAGATCATTGTTACCAACAGAATATGTTACTATATAACATATCAAATTATTACCATAGATAATCATTACCAATAGATTCATGAAAGTTACGATCTTGATATATCATTAATGACCAGCAAAATTGCCAGCACAAGACTTCGCCCAGAACCATGGCCTTACCAGACCGTGTTATCCCCATGGTTGATTTGGTTGATTTCTCAGCAAAACACCCCTATGATATTCTATATTCCCATTACCAGAGGGTATATTCAAGGAAAAATCCCATTCACTTAGTTAGTGATATGAAGTTATATCCAGTAAAATCACCATCAAATGCCCATGAAATCCCTATCAAATCCTCATTGATCCCCATAAAATCACCATAAAATCCCCATGAACCCGAATAAACTCTTCATTTTTTCCATTTTTTCTTTTTTTTCCCAATTTTTTCCCATCGTTCGTTTCGTAACTCGAAACGCAGGTTACATCGTCGGCTCGGTGGCTGAGATGGCGACCCACACGCGGCAGAATCCCTCGGCACAGCACCTTGGGTTGAATTTATTGGGGGGAAACAGAAAGTTATAGCAATTACATGGATCATCCAATAAACCATGGGTGATATTTATATAATTTTAATAGCTAAATCGTCATTCTTATGATCTATGAGTGATCCATTTTCCATAGCTATGTTACCCTCTGGTTATTTAACATAGCCATGGTATAGATGGCCCATAGAAATAGATGATTTTCCCAGCTAGAAACCTTCATTTATAAGGTTTTTTTCCATGGCTATGTTAAATAACCAGATGGTACATGGATCATCCAATAAACCATGGGTGATATTTATCTATATTTATTGGTATATATCCTATTAAACAGAACTTATATCTAATAATATATGGATCATCCACGATAAACCATAGGTGAATATAATATAGGTGAATATAGGTGATTTTGTAATCTAGGATATTATCCATATATTATTCATGTTTATCACTGTTTAATAGTTTAATATCATCTATTTAGGGGTACCCCCACTTATGACCCCCCCAAAGTTCGTAAACCCACTTTAATATACCCTCTGGTAAATTAACATAACTATTGAAAATCACCATTTTTAATGGGAAAACTCACTATAAATGGCCATTTTCAATAGCTATGTTAGTTTACCAGAGGGTACCCTAAACGTTTACATTCTGGAAAAGCAATGGTTGAACGCCCGGAACACGATCTACTTTCGTACGTTTTCCACGGTTAGTTTACCCCAGGGTGTGCAAGTGGGCTTTGGATGGGTCCCATTTACCCTCTGGTAATTTAACATAGCTATTGAAAATTACCATTTATAGTGGATTTTCCCATTAAAAATGGTTATTTTCCATAGCTATGTTAAATTACCAGAGGGTAAGACATGATTAGCTGGCATTTTTTTTTGAATCATGTGGTAACCACGAAAATTAAGAACTTATGTACTGTAAGAATACAAACAAAAATGAACTATGTGGTTAAAGAAAAACTGCGGGTTGATTCTGTTGTATATCTACATGTGTATTGGTTATAGTAGCCATGATCAACAATGATTAATTACTGTAAGTACTAGATGGGTTATTCAATCACGATGCTATTTCCAATTTCACCCGATTTCAAGTAGCAGCCGGCATACCTAAGAAATGTCTTCAGACCCGTGCCTAGAAGCTAGACGGGTTTGTTTTTTGTTATTTCTCCAGCTATTTGGGATGACGAATCAACATTGACTTTCACATTTTTGGGGTTGAAACCACCACCAACCGGTAATCTAGTGGATACTTTCCACAGGGTATATGCTGGTAACCCATCAGTGTGTGATACTTTGAAGTTCGATTTTTCAACGCAATTTAGGTCGAGAAAAAACAGTGTTTTTTTGGGGTCCACCGAATCGCGTTGCGTGCACGCCGCGACGCGAGGCATATCTTCACCATGCGGCAATACTGCGAGGTGGGGAGCTGCTATGGTCCCAATTACCCTCTGGTTATGTCAAACATAGCTATTGAAAATGGCCATAGAAATAGTGGATTTACCCAGCTACAAAATGGTGGATCTTTCCATAGCTATGTAAACGTTTACCAGAGGGTATGTGTAAATTCCCCTACAAAACCACGGTTTCTGGGGTGGTGTTTACTATTGGGGGGAATGGATTTATGGACACTCTCCCCTCACTCAGCTTTTTTATTTGCCACGTTGCCAGGTATGTGAAAGATTTCAGATGTTTTATTTCATTTAGAGGGAGTCTCTAATCATGGAATATCAATGTTGTGTCAACTAAGTCTCTGATCAAGGAATATAAATGTTGCCTTGTTTGGTGTGTCCAGAAAGCTTGGCGAAGGACTGCCCACTTAATACTGACATTATGTCGCATCGAAGTGGTTTCTTTGTTCGGGCCATAGCAGTGACAAGAAATCATTCGCCTTGAAATGGTGCCCGTTAAAAAACGAACACAAGTTGACACATTTTGCTGTGGTATACCCGGCAATAAACTTAACCATTTGTTTTTTTTCACCACCCATTGATGATAATATTGTGGATGGTTATGGCTTTGGGTTTAACACATGACGATTATTGGGAAAACTACATTGATTGTTGGCTTTAGCACAATTCATGGGAGGTTTCCGAAGTCATGGGGGTCCCCCTAAATCATCACAATCATCCATGGAAAAACGGGATTTGTCCATAACCATCCAGCTATTGGGGATCCATAAAGCCTCCTTTCTGAAGTGCAGTCGTTGGAGGAGCATGGCTTTCACCAGAAGGTGATTCACTCCCTACGGAGACACTATGATTTCTGGTTTCAGGCAGGCTGCATGGTGAAAACGCTTTTAGGCCGTGGCTCCCATTTGGAGACGATTTTCCGAAATGGGAAACCATGGGTTGTCCACATCTATGTTAGTTTACCCTAGGGTATATAGTCGGGTATATACGTATGTATATATATATAATTATATATATATATGATTGTATATAGAATGATTATTATGGTGTTGCCAAATTTGAGAATACAATGGGTATCCAATGGGATACAAGCAACCGCTCTTGGTGAGTATACAATGGGATATAAGCAATCGCTTTTGATGGACATAACGCCTTGGAACTTTGGCTGTGTTTTGCAAGTTTTGGGTCGGCGAAACCTCTGAGGGACACTTTAACTTTCACAGAGGATCACGATGATGTGTATATGCTACTGTATGTTTGCAGACCCAGACATGGTCCCTCAGTTAGTAACTGGTTTACAAAAAACATGGAAAACAATTTTAGGAGAACACGTTTTATATATTAGAATGGGAGATAGTATTGGGGATAAGGACAATTTTGTCTCTTATTTTGCTATATTGAGACCATCATTGACCATCATTGGGTTCCATTATCCCTCCCTGCCCCACAAGCATATATATACATATATATATATATGGGTAAATGGTGGTATATAGAGGTACAGTATATAAATTGTCGTCCCATCACCCAACATTATATATATAATATATATATATATCTGCCCCCAATTTGGCAATTTGGGACCCAAAGTTTGAGCATTGATCCAATTCCGACATTTTTCAGTCACCGGTCCAGGAGATGTCTCACTTTGAATACGAAGGGGAGATCCTACAGCGGCTCCCTGTACCTCTGCGGAGGGAAGTGGTGTTGTACATTCACAGGCTGGGAATGGTTTGGGGGGCTACGGTGATGGGGGATAGCTAAATATCATGCGAAATATCTGTTATATTACTGTTATATTAACATAAATGCCCACCTGTATATGGATATGTGTATGTATGCATATCACATGCTGTATATGTACACGCACACACTTTGGTACAATGGATGAGGATGATTTCATGGAGGGGCCAAGTGAACATTGCTGGGTCTTTCAGAGCTTTCCAAGGCAGTTTCGTACCCGGGGCCAAGCGGGACCCCAGGGCCGTCGCATCATCACCAGGCATCTGCTGAGCAGCAAACTCTTGATCTTCAAGGATGCGTTGCCTCCGTGGCACCTTGGCTGGACTTCCCGGGCCCCAGGGCCCCAAAATGGATGGCTATGACTCAGCATTGGATGGATGGCTTCTCCCGACGAATTGGATGGCTTCGCCGTTTCAAACTTATGTAACATATGTATATATATATATATAATATACGTACATATACACATATATTCATCATCTATTCATTTATTCAAAAAAACACATTAAGCATTGCTGGTTGAACACTGAACATGGGCCAATTTTTGTAGGGCCATGGCCAGGTTGCAAGCGGTCCTCTTGAGACTCCTGGAGCCTCAGGTCGGGGCGAACAGTGTTCGGGGGAAGGAGATCCCTGGTGGATAGTATAATATTTAAATAGAATTCCAAATATGAATAGTATGTGGATATTATATGTGAATTATATCTGTGAATTATATGTGATATAATATCTATAGATAATAGTATAGTGGATATTATATGTGAATTATATAGATAGTATATATGATAGTATTATTGAACGTATTTTTTAGGATGTTGCTTCCCTGGTCAGGAACATATTGCTAGAGCTAGTATTTCCAGCTAGTATTCGGAGAATCCCCAATTTATGATCCAAGATGTTGCTTTTTTTCACCGATGTTCCAAACGACAGCCCTGGACAATATATCCAAGATGTTGTTTTCACCGATTTTCTCCGACACCCCTGCTGGCTGCACAGTCTTGTTAAAAGATGTTAAACGTATTGGATCGATTTTGATCGGTCCCAATAAGGGGGGCATTAAACATGTTGGATGGGATCAGAAAATGGGAGATTTACCGATTGACAGCTGGAGAAAACTGATAAATAACGAGTAAACCAAGATGTGACGGGTAGGGCAATCTCAATGCTTCACCATCAAAAACGGGGGTTGAAGGAACCAACATTGGGATGTAACCATCCATAGGTAAACCGGAAAGCCTTGGTTGGGCATAGAGTTTGTGGGTAAGCCTTGAGGGTAGGTTCAATCAACAAGAGTTGCGATTTATACAGCCTACAACAGTTAGATGACGCAATTGGGAGATTTACCAACGAAAAATGGCGAGATCAGCAACACACACTGGGACACCCTTGGTGAAAGCTCTTTTAATGATTTCATTATTTGCACTTTTGACAGAGATATATAGAAGATTAGACATGGACTTGGGGATTTGTTACTGGATTTGACCGGTCAGGGACACATTTCCCTTACTGTGAACAGGTTTAGGTTGCACGCAATCCTCGGCATGTGGTCTCTTGTGGAAGTAGGGAGTCATTTTGGTCAGAGCAGCCACCCCCCCCTTGGGCCTGAGACACCGTTCAAGAACATTCATTTTAGCCTCCATTTATGTAAGAGTGCTTCGGATCTTTATATTTAAAGATGGTTGGACGCAAAACAGCTCAACACAAAGACATTCCGGGGTGGGTCTTAGATGTACCTATATATTTATACAGTATATATATATTTATACAGTATATATATATTTATACAGTATATATATACAATACTATATACAATATACATACACATATGACACATATGTATATATATATATATAATATTATACGCATACACACACACATATATATGTATACACACATTATTTACATATATAATGAGAGTGGTTGACATCTTTGGATTTCCAATGGAGACCCATAGACTCCAGGCCTTCACGCCCGGCGAGCTGGTCTTACAGTCACAGGAGGTCCGGAACCGGATGGACAACTGGGTTTACCTCTGGGAAAGATCCACCATTTTTGATGGCTAAATCAATTACCCTCTGGTAATTTAACATAGCTATTGAACATGGCCATAGAAATAGTGAGTTTTCCCATTAAACATGGTGGATCTTTCAATAGTTATGTAAACGTTTACCAGAGGGTATACATGGCAATTTTCAAGAGCAAACTGTAACAGTCATTACCAGGGCCAGATTTTTGGACCCCCACATTCTCTCCAGGGAGCTGCGGGAAACTGCTTCCAGCACCAGCAGGTCACAACTTCCTTGGATCTCATCTTCGTCCTCGACCATTCCTGCGAGGCACGGCGCGGAGTTGCGGAGTTGCGGAGTTGCGGTATCCATGGCTATGATCATATCCCCCAAAAAAGGATGATTCAATAACTGAACATTGAACATGGCCAATTTGGTGGGCCCATTAGTGATCCATTCTCGAGCCAGATCACAGTTGGATGGCTTTTTCCTGGGAAAATTGAGTCAAATCGTCAACACGAGACCAAGGGTTTGGGACTCCAATGGCAGTTCCTTTCCGATCGATCTTGGGATCACCGAACGAGGAAGTCCAGTCGGAAAACCGCAAAAAACCGTTCCGTTGCTGTCCGAGGCCTTCCTAGATGTCACGGGGCGGCCGCTGTCCGGGGGCCCACCCATGTGTCGCTTGCGCGACGAGTCGATCCATTGGCGGGCTACTTTGGTGTGGACTTACCCTCTGGTAAACGTTTACATAACTATGGAAAGATCCACCATGTTGAATGGGAAAACTCACTATAAATGGCCATTTTCAATAGCTATGTTAAATTACCAGAGGGTAAAGACCCACGTAAGCCAATCATTTATCAATGTTTATGATGTTCAAACGAATAGATGTGCACACCATAAGAACCTAGGGATTTACCTCTTCAGTTGCTTGGGGACCCACCATGACAAACATGAGAGTTCGATTTGGTCAATAAAAGCCAGGAGGGATATTGGGACAACATTAACACCGACAATCATCTTGATGTGACAAAATCACAGGGAAACTGCTTCAAATTTACTGCAGGGGACCCTAAAATCTTTGTGGGTCCCTTTCCACATTTCTGGTCAATCCAGGTCCCACCCAGTGGCGCGGCGACGGCGGAGGAAAAAGGAGGCCCCTTCGGGTTGGGAATGAACCAGAGGCAATCCCAAATGGCTGGGAAATTCCTCATGAAATATGGAAAAACCATAGGAAAATATGGGAAAATTTTGAAACAACATCTAAACATGAAGGTTTCTTGCTGGGGAATCATCGAACTAATGAAGATTTTCCAGCACAACATGTTTGAACTCCACTGTGAATGGTGATGAATCTTTAGGAGAAATACTGGGAAAGTGCTCTAGACATTGGGATTTCCCTATACATATATACATATACTGTATATATGCATATATATATACATATATATATATACAATTATATATTTATACGTTTCCACCATGAATTCCACCCCCCTGTTGGTGAAAGGTTACATATCGTCCTATTACGAAGTGGCTCAACTTCATCAACGATGGATGGAACGATCGACCGTGCAGGTTCGCGTCCCTTATGTAGACGAAGCCTATCAGGTCATGGAGGCGCAGCAGTGTCAATTCAAATCCAGTTGTTGTATTGTTAATGTGGTAAACCAACAACAATAACAATGGGATATCGTTACTAATGCTAGTTACTGTTAGTTGCTTATGTACATATATATATATATTTCTTTAAACCACAAATGATAAATGATAAACACATATTTTGGTATATTGTTAATGTTAGTAATTGATAGTAATTAGTGGTTTATCAATGTTTATCATTTTGATTTTGTGGTAACCCCAATTGTACACCTATCATTTGGGCATGGTTTATACAACCCCTAGAAATGGTAACAATCCATCATTGGAAGAAACCAGATCGCAACATATTGCAACCAAGTTATTCATGCTGATCATGTGGGTTTGTCTGGAACTTTAAGGGACAATCCCTGAATCCACAGGTCTATCTTTTTTTTCTTGTACATTAAGATTGTCATTTTGACGTATACACCATTCTTCAGACAAACCCATTTGGAAACTTGGACATGTGGATACTTTCTTTGATCATTTGCTGAAGGCACTGGAAGAACTTGTTTGACTTGTTTGAATCTCTTCAGGGGTCCGATCACCATCCCGGCACCTTTTCGAGCGTGGGAATATGTCTGAATGATGGCTGGGAAACTGTTCTGCAAGCAGCGTCTTCGTTTGTTCTTCGCTGAAGTTTTTGAAGTTTTCTTTTTAAGAAGAGTTCTGGAAAAACTGGAAGATACCCTCTGGTAATTTAACATAGCTATGGAAAATCACCATTTTTAATGGGAAAATCCACTATTAATGGTCATTTTCAATAGCTATGTTTGACATAACCAGAGGGTAAACCATTTGGTTAAATCATTCGCAATGATTTTCCCAGAACCATTCAAGGTGCAGTTCCGCCGCACATCCCCTTCCCACATTGGAAATGGTCAGTTGGTAGGGGGATTCATCCCGAACATATCTGGATGAATGACATCACCTAACTGTGATGTCACTGGCATGATTCGCAAGGGTTTTATTGGCAATTTCTGATTCGTAAGGGTTTTATTTATTCCCCATAGGAGGCCAAACAATTGAGGTACTTTCACACAAAAACTTGGAACTCATCAGCCATGAAAACATGTCAAAAACTTGGGACATCATCGCATCCATGAGCTTCGGCATGCCTCGGCTGCCCGGATGACAGACCTATGTCCCTGGTACCATGTTGGGCTTTGAGCAATTGCTGGGGGAGGCGCTGGGTGATTTTTTCCAGAGATGACTTGGATGGAACAAAGACCCCACGGGTTTCACCGTTTCACCAGCCATGATTTTTTGGAGGTTTAAAATCACCATGGGGGACCGTTTTTTTATCGAACTGCTCCACCACTGTGTCCCATTCGGAAGATCGCCCACCCGGCCCACCCCATGGAGCAGTCATCAATTTGTCCAGACCTCGCCGTGTTGAAATTCGGGCTGGGCACTGGATTGAGTTAAGGGAAGCTTTACATGAAAACATGGCGTCCAAGATGGAAGCATGATGAAGCATGCGCATTGAAGGCTTCCCTCTTGCTTTCCCTGAAATTGTTTTTGGAAAACGGAAGTTTTGCAGAGCAAGAGTGGGTTGTGCATTTGTGTTCCGCTAGGTCAACTTAACCTGAGATTTCCCTGCAGGTTGTTGTCCCCACCACGAAGCCAAGCTGATGCAACGTATTGCACCGTATCATTCGACCTTGTTTTTTTTTGCGCCTCTTGAAGTCGGAACCCCACGATCTTTGGTGAAAAAAGCCAGGCACACCGTTTTTCCGAGACTCTGATTCAAGGGAAGATTTACCCTCTGGTGAACTAACATAGCAATGGAAAATGGCCATAGAAATAGTGGATTTTCCCATTAAAAATGGTGATTTTCCATTGCTATGTTAGTTCACCAGAGGGTACAGGACCCCCTTGGAGCCAGCCATCTTGCTGTCCAGGAAGCTTTGCAATCCTTTGGATGTCCACCGGAGTGTGCTGCCGGGGACCCGGACTGCCCGGACTGCCCGGACTTCATAGTGGGCGTGGGCGCCACCAAGCGTCGATTGACACAGTGCGCTGCATAGAAATTCGCAAGATCTCGTTTGATTGGAGCTTATAACTTGTATCATCTTATATCCCTCATTTATCCTCATTTCAGTCATTTCATGTAAGTATTTTCAAGCATATATATATATAATCTCCCTTTTGTCAAACGATCTTTGAACCCGTGTTTGTTTGTAACTGAAGATGAAGTATACTGCCCATACCTCCCTCTTTCTTGATAGACAAGTATCCTCATCCTCCGTAGACATCACCCATTTTCAAAATGCTTAAATTCCGGAGTTCGTTGTAAAGAAACAACATCATCCCTCCATTTTTCCCCGCAAGTTTCTTTTCCCATATGATAGTTCTCATTTTGTCAGACAAGTTCTACATGTTTGACACAAGTTGATGTCCCAAATTCCTGAAAGAACAGTCAACTAATATCCATACCAAATCGACTGAATATATATATATATATCTATAATAATATATATATATATCTATAATATAATATATATATATAATATAATATATATATAATATAATATATATATAATATAATATAAATATATATATATAATATAATATAATATATATATAGATAGTATATAAATATATAAGTGCATACAATTTCTTATTTTTTCAAAACAAGTTTGCTAAAGCTCCATCAAAATACATGTCAAACATATTTATATTTATTCTCTATCTACATCCCAATGTCTTTGCAAACATATTTGCCTAAACATATTCCAATATTTTCCAGGTAAGCTGTCCATTTTTTGACGATCAAATCCGCATTTTCGGTGGTCACCCTGGGTCACCCTCCAGCAAAACATAGCTATGGAAGCGGCCCATGGACTTCGATGTTATAGGCGATGGAAGACATGGTGATTTCCACGGCGATGTGAGTTTACAAGAGACATCCAGCAATCTTAATGCTATCGAAGTATATCCCCATGGTGATCCATGGTGCTTTGTTTCCCTCAACAATCCCATGAACTGCCCATTGATGGTTGAACCTCCATGTGAGTTTGTCTGTCCAAAGAATCTAAGCGCTCCTCTCACCGGTAATCGCATAGCGCGAAAGTGACACTTTTTGCAAAAAATCAAGTTTTCAGGATTTGGACTTTTCGTTTTTGTTTTTTTTACTTTTTGGGTGAAACTTCTCGCAAAATGACAAACAGTTTTCGGCTTTTCGACTTTTCGTTCTTTTTTTTTTTTTTCCGACTTTTCGATACTTTTCGAACATAAATCTCTTGGCCTGCGAACTTTTTGACTTGTCGACTTTTCGTTTTTTTTCGACTTTTCGACATTTCGCTTTTTTGGACTGTTCGTTTTTTATCTTTTTTATTTTTTTGAGTTTTTCGACTTTTTGCATCAAACATAGAAAGTTTTTGACTTGTCGGCTTTGTTTTTTCCGGTCGTTTCGATTTTAAACCGTCAGCCAGTTCTTAACGAACTTTTCGACTCTCAAAAAGTCAAAGTGTTCGACTTGTTGACTTTTTGTGTTTTTCAACTGTTCATTTTTTCTCACTGGTGCAATAGATACGAGAAGTAAATTATGAACAAAAAAATGGTGCAAATAGATATCGGCTGGCTGGACTGAATAGATTGAATAGATTCGCCGGAGCCGATAAACATTGACAGAGACAGTTATACTTGCGCATCCAGTTTGATGTCTATCAATGCATCTGCCCGAGTTGATGAACAAATATTTTTGTATCGGTCTCTTGCTAGGAGATTCGTGACCCACAAACCTGGACCTCGCTTGCCTTATTGTTGAGGATAGATGATAAGACAGCAACCCTTAAAGATTGCTTAACTAAGTATCTTGCTTCAGCGATTGTTTAGGGTTGAAATCCTACGCTTCAACTTGACCTTGTTTTTGATGCTACGCTGCCACTTCCGCTGACACTTCATGCTACGCTTTAAGGCTTGGTCTAGGGTTTAGATGCTACGCTGTAACTTTCTTTAGGGTCTAGTGAATCGTTTGTCCGGTGTTTGGTTTACGGATTGTTTAAGGTTTAGTCTTTGGTTGGTGTAAGGTTTACTTGGGTTAGGTGTAGTTTTTTTTTTAAGACTTGGTCTACAATTTGATTTATTCAGGGTTTGTTTAGGGTCCAGAGGCTACGCTTCAAGCTTCTCTTGCGTTTGATGCTACGTTTCAAGGTTTGTCTAGGGTTGAAATGCTAGGCTTTAATGTCCTCTTGGTCTTCTATGCTGCGCTGTAACTTCATCCTGTATTTGATGCTTTGCTGCCAGTTCCCGTGAGTCTTTCCCTTGATGCTACGCTTAAGTTTGGTTTAAGATGGTTCAAGGTTTCATTGAGCGTGGGCTCGAAGTTTATTGAAGGTGCACTCCCCCAGACAACAAATCAAACCATGGGCTGCTTTGGCTCAACCCTTTCTGAGAATTTTTTGCCGCACGCGCAGAGAGTGTTCTCTTGGTGCACCGTTGAAATGGTGACAAACCATTGCAAAAAAAATGCCAGGTCATGCCATATCCAACTTCAGAAAACTTCGCAAAGAAGCCCCAGTGAAAGAATCGCAGTAACCTCATTTGCGTCTCATCCGAGCATGACCCAAAATATATTTTATTTATATATTTGTTTAAAGAGATTTGGCAACTAATTATGAAGAATCTCAATATCACGTTATTTCAGTTTGTTGACTTATGGAATTAGTACGTCAAAATGCCCAACCCACTGCCCGACACAAGTGTTTAATAACCATAGTTAAATCCCGTAGATAGGAATTGTGCAAACCAGCCGTCTGTGGGTTTCCAGTATCCACCCTTTCAAAATCCACAAAAAACCCACCAATTAGAGGAATCCACAACATCGTGTGCGCAATATGATCCTGTCGAGGTAATTGCAGGTTTGCGTTGTGCGCCCCTAGAAACAGAACAAAAAAAACACCAAGGAACAGCAACAAAACAGCAATTAAAAAACATCTGCGTGCATGCTGCCTGTGCTCCAGCGCCTGGAAAACCCCAAGCGATGTGTCACTTTTCCAGTGAAACTTTTCGCAAAAAGTCAAACAATCAAAAAGTTTTCGACGTTTCGATTTTTTCGACTTTTCGATCTTTTGACTTTTCGATTTTTTCGATTTTTTCGACTTTTCGTTTTTTCGAGCAAACAAAAATCCTGAACTGCAAACTTTTCGAGTTTTCGACTTTTCGCGGTCGAAAATCGTGGGTTTCACGGTCTGACCGTTACCAGCCAGAAGAGCACACAGCCCAAATTAGGGTACCCCCAAATGTGACGGTTCGAAACTTCATTTTCCCTACCATTTGATGGTTATTTTATGGGTGTAAATACGGTATACCCCATTTTCAGATCCATTTGTTGAAAGGGTTGGTTATATAATGTTATGTAATAATAATTATAATTAATCAACCATCTCAACAAATGGAACTTAACATATATATACAATTATATACAATTATATACAATTATATGCAACTATATACATGCATGCATGCATGCATCCATACATACATCCATCCATCCATCCATCCATCCATACATCCATACATCCATACATCCATACATCCATACATCCATACATCCATACATCCATACATCCATACATCCATACATCATACATACATACATCCATACCTCCATACATCCATACATCCATACATCCATACATCCATACATCCATACATCCATACATCCATACATCCATACATCCATACATCCATACACATCATCATACATCCATACATCCATACATCCATACATCCATACATCCATACATCCATACATCCATACATCCATACATACATACATACATACATACATACATACATGTATATATATATATAATACATAATTCTAAACACGGAGGTTTCCTAAACTGGGTACCCCAAAACAGTCGACAGGTCCGTGCCGATCTCCGTAGCGGTTGCAATGCCTTCGCACTGAAGATCGCCGCCTTGGTTGACACCACCAGGCGAGAAAAACCATAGGAAGATCATGGAGAAATCATGGTGGTTCTTTCATGGTTTTCCATAGGAAGACGGTTTTTTTTCAGTTATGAAACAGATCATGGAAACAGATCGTGTTTTTTTCGAAGATATATTCGGAACATCCTTTGCCAAGTGCTGTTTGACTGGGATTGAAATGGGAAAATCATGAGAAACTTCTCTAGAATGGATATTTTTAGCTTGGAAAATCCTCGAAGTGAAATGGGGGTATTTTGTAATTGCCAAGCCCTGTTGAATGGCATCGGAGGCGAATTTTGATGACTTAGTTTCACAGTTTCCCCTTTATTATAGAACACCTTGAGAAACATTGGGAGCTTAAGTAGGAATTGCCGCCGTACAACCTAGCAGGAATAGGGACAAGACTAGCAACACGAGTCTTTTTTGGAGGGGACAACAGCCAGCGATCCTCAGTGGATACTCAGTGATTGGTAGGTTCATCCCATCACAAGTTCTCAGTAACCAGAGAGCTGGGGATGGGCCCGTTGGGGCCCTTCAACACCTGCATGTTGATGGATTGCAACATGTTAATCAGTTGATGGATTTCTTGCGAAGTTGTTGGGCTTGGCTTGCATAATTTCTTCTACATCTACAGCTACACCTTGTGCGGACAACAGGTAACGTGTTGTTATTTCCTGTATTCTTGAAACATGTTCCACCAAACCCCAGGTTTGCCCATGCCCAAATAACACACCCAGACAATTCTAGATACTTGTCACCAGAGGATGAACGAAAATTCTGGCTATCCGCAGCGATTTTGTGATTTTGACTTTAGGCTTTCAGGGTTTAGGGTTTTAGGGTTCAGAGTTTTAGGGCTTTAGGGTTCAGAGTTTTAGGGTTTTAGGGTTCAGGGTTTCAGAGTTTAGGGTTTGTTCTTAAAGGACACTCGCTGTACGCAGGTATTTGAGCATGTCAAAGGATATGCGAGATCCATCATGGGCAACCGTAGGATTCGCAGAGAACATGTTCTAAGGTTTTTTAACCTGGTTATTGGAACAACTATTCTTGGTACCTCAGGTACTGTCACTCAGCTGTGCTTCCTTGGCTCTTTGGACCTTTTGGAGCTGAAAAATACGCTTTTCCTATGAGAAATGTAGGTTATAGATATGGGTAATCTTGGTATCATCGGATCCCGAAACGGAGGCTTCATTGATTTCAGAGTTTACTAAGAATGACTCTTCAGTGGGTCCATTTAATAAACGGCACCCCAATACCTATTAATCCTATGGAGGTGTTAGCACCATGGTGAAATCCTCAAATGGGGCCCTGGGGCCCACATGGGCCCACGGTAGGTCGATGCCCTCGGCCGCCAACATGCTTTCAGAGCTCATCATGTCCTGTATCTTGACGGAGGGACGACGACGCGTCAAGGATCCGAGCTGGAGATGTGCCTAAACTAAACAAACACGCTATACCGTATAGGGTACATACATAGATTCACATGTATGATATATATGTATAGAAGTGTATTAATGTATATATATATATATATTGGGTATGATATAATTATAGACACTATATCATTACTGTAATACGAGGAAACATCATATGTTAGTTGCACCAGTTGCAACACATCATTTGAAACGATGGCAACGACAAGGCAGGTTCCATTGGCAACGACAAGGCAGTGAGAATATGGCAACAGCATCATAGCATCAAAATTACGTGAAAACCAGAATCAAACCATGACAGTATGATAATGAACCATCATTATGAATATTATGAACTTCAGTCATGAATTTTTTTAGCATCCTGAAAATACATATTCAATCGGACCCATCTGATGTTTCATCTGAGTTCGAAAACCATCTCAACTGACCGGTGCAGATGTTTAGTTTGGCCCATCTTTCTTGGTGAAATCAGTTACCCTCTGGTAATTCAACAGTTTGCCATGGAAAATCACCAATGTTAAAAACGGCAAACCATCGAATTATTCATAACCCACGGCTTCAAGAACTATGTGGAAAATTTCCATATTGTTAACTTTTCCAGAGGGTAAATCCATATTAACTATACGTAAATCTCAATTTCCAGAGGGTAAATTCATTTGAATCCCCCACTTCTCGCAGGAACGGGCGAGCAATGAATTTGATCAGAAGCTAGAGGCTGCGACTCCAGGGATGGCTTTTGGATTGCAGCATTTTCATCGTTTCTACTCGGCTCCAGTAAATTTCGCATCAATTTTTACATCCTGAACATGCTTAGAAAAAATTAGAAAACTAAGTGGACACTCATCTTCAAGCCCCAAGTCATGGCAGGGTCTATGTTTTTTTTTTTTCGTTGAAAGGCAAGATCTACGGAGGAGAACGTATCATGCTGGGAAGATTCTTGGCAGGCCTTTCGCATCGCCAAACAGAGCTTTACGGCGCGTGGAAGGGTGGATGCCGAAGGGAGGGAACCGACTGGTGATTGATTGCTTGGCTGGTGATACGCCAAAAAAACAGGTCGGCTGTTGAAATTCTGCTATTATGATCATTATATGATCATTATACGATCATTATTGTTACTATGTTTCTGATGATGATGATGATGATGATGATGATGATGATTATGTTGATGTTGATGATGATGATGATGATGATGATGATGATGATGAGTATGATTACTATTATTGTCATTTTTGTACTATGAACAAGCACATTCAGTTGTTTGACAGTTCTTTGGGCCGTAGATGTTGACCTACGAGGGCCACCTTTGTATAGCAATGGTCAGAGGTTGTATTACCATCCGGTCATTTCACATAGCTATGGAACATGATGATTTACATTGCTATACCCATTAAAAACAGATGATTTTCCCATTTATAGATCATAAAAACATAGCTTACATAGCTATGGAAAGTCACCATTTTAAACACGTAAATAATCGATCATCGAACTAGCTATGGTCCATTGCTTCAGGCCTCGTTGCCCATTGGTCTACGGGTGGCAGCCTATGCAAGTTCCGAGGTGCATCAACCAGGACCGAAAAGATCAAGTTGGGTTGTACAAACTATGAAAGTATAGCTTGATGAAGTTGGGAAGCTTGATTGAGTGGTTTAAAGTTTTTTTTTTGAAGTATACTGCCATGGGATTTCACAGAGCGTCTGAGATTGGCTAAGATGGTAAAACTACGAAATATCGGACATGCTACCTTATGTCAATAGATGGATTGTGACAATCTGTTGTTTGGGTATCTTCAATTTTGACCCATATCACTGATCAAAAGGAAACCCACCCTCCCCAAGATCATGGTAGCAGAATGGTTAATTACTTCGCCTTGAAATCAAGGCTGAATATGGGTTCCTCTAACTACCATTTGGCCATTTGGCCATGGCTCAAACAGGAACAATTATAAGTATTGCCATAGTATGGCTTAGTTTTTGAAACCCCAAACTTCGGGGTATATGCATTGGTACACCTTGTTGGAACCATACCCATTTTTAGGGGGCCAAAGCCCCTGTATGTGTGTGATAAATTTAGATGGTTGACCTTGTCAACATTTCGTTTTGACCCGAATGTTGTGCGATAAACTGGGATACAACTGGCCACTTTAAATCATGTTAACTCATGTTAACTCCATTTTTTGATAATCTTCGATATTTTTCGCTCCAAATTGGTTTCCCTCCTTTACAGCCAGTTCTTTTTACCAGGCTGACAGCTTGTCCCCATCGAGAAGCAGAGGAGGCAAAGAGGGTGAATCCTCCCTGAAAATGGGAATTAAACTCATGATAAAAGTGACTGGTTGGTGGTTTCAAACATTTTTATTTTCCATAATATATGGGACAACCCTTCCCATTGACTTTCATATTTTTCAAGATGGTTATTGCACCACCAACCAGGTGAATCTTATAGGATATTTTGGTATCAAATAACCATCTACTATTAGTTATACCCTCAGAAACCCTGGTTTAGTATTGGATCTATGACATGGAGTCACTCGAACATATGGCCACCTTGGAGGATGAGTTTCTGGGTGAATTGCTGATTTTTTTCCCGGAGTGAGCTGGTTGCATCAGGAAGTATCATATTTCTTTTAGTGGGAACACATAGCCTGGAAGGATATATATATGATTATTATATATAATTGTATATATATATAATTATATATATATACATATATTCCGGACACGGCTGGTATGCGGATGCGACCACACTGTCTACTGGTCACATCTTCATTGAAAAAAACCAAACACCCTGCAGCTGGGTATGGAAGATCCTCAGTGACCCAGTAAGAGTATGTTCCCAGTACAGTAAACCATTGCCATGCTAACATTGCCAGCGTTAAATCGTTTCCTTCCCCTTGTAGGTTGCCGATGATCCTGGTGGTGACTGGGTCAAGGGATTCTCCAAGCCATACTGGGCCATTCTCCAAGAACTGAAGGGAACACATCAGCCAGACTCTGGCACAATTTCCCTGAAGCCTCTTACCCTACATTCCCCATTGCCCAATTCTTGATGCTTTGCCGGTTTGCCCAACATATTTTGGGCAAAAACCCAATATTTGGGGAATATCCTATCTAAACCGCATGGTGTTTTCCCCCCAAAAAATGTTGTCCACGTCCTTGATGATTCAATGCCCCTTATGACGTCCTCCCCCGCCGCCACAACCGCTGCAGGCACCTCCTTTCAGGTCAGTACGCCCTTGGTTGCGGTGCCTCCGCCGGCTGAGGATGCTCGGGCGATGGCGTGGGAGGTGGGAGAGGTGGGAGAGGTGGGATGCAGATTTTTGGACCTGGATTTTGAGTGTATTATCACAAATCACCAAATCAGTCATAGTGATGAGATTTGATATCATTAATCATTGTGACTATCATTGTGACTTATTTATATGAGTAAGAGATGGTAATAGTATTATCACAAATCACAATCAGTATGATGATTGTCATTATCGTTATTACAGAACTCACGGTGACTATCTCTATGACTACTGCCGATGATGCCTGGAGGAACTGCCTAGATTCCCTGAAGGCACTGGGTTTGTCTCTTCGGGGACAAACACCTGGTGCGATGGGGGGGAGTCCTGAGGACCAATAGCCACTGGGTAAGGCAGCATCCTAAGTTATATCGCTTGCATTCGACAAAGACTCTGAAGATAAAAGATATGTTGTATTTATTCGACTATATTACTATTGTATAATTGTATATATATATAGATTACATATATATATATATGTATCATTATGTAAGACTATATACACGCATGCATAGATAGATAGATAGATAGATAGATAGATAGATAGATAGATAGATAGATAGATAGATAGATAGATAGATAGATAGATAGATATACATAGATATATATATATATATATACACAGCCGTTTGTGTTGGTATTCCAACTTGTGAATCACTGGGTGTAAAGGAACACTCGAAGCAAGTCATGGTTTCTACCCTCCAAAGCCTCCTGTCGCATGGTGAAATCCTGTGGTTGGGGATCCTGGTGGGTTCCACCAAAAAGCGATGGTTTAAAAACAGAGTGAAGCACAAGAAAAAAGGACATCTTCATTATGAACTTTTAGTTTGGATTAAACCTTTTCTATCTTTTCTGGGATGAGTTTTTTGGGTTTGTTGATACTTTTTTGCTATTAACGAGTGTTGACTATCCATATTTTGGGGTACCCAAATTCGAACAGAAGTAGAGCCAAGATGAGGTTTTTCGACGGGGACGCTGCTTAAAACCTCAACCCCCCCAAAAATGCTTCTGATTTGTCCCCAAAGGATCCATATTCTGCTCATCTTGGGGATGATAGACCAGACTGGCAGGATCTTGAACTGCATTTTTAAATCTGTTCCTTTGAAGTTTCATGGACACCATGATTTGTCCGCGTGAAACACCAGGCAGCACGGGAATTTCGCAAAAGGCAGAAGGCCGGAAGCGCAGCGATGCCACTAGCGGATGGGGCAGGGGTGCAAAACACATTGGTCTTCGCCCACCTGCAGAGGGTGCCAGATTGCCGAAAAAGAACGCTGCATCCTCGTGACCAAGGTGTTTGGTTGCTGGTTTCAAACATAGAGTATTCTTCCGTCCCTAGTATTGTGTCCAAGCTGGTTAGATTCCTAAGATGGGTGAACACTTCCAAACAGTTGCTGGCTTTGAAGGCAAATTGTTTTGTTCTGCTTGTCACACCCCCTTTTTTTAGGGCAACATTTGGACGCGTGTAACGGCTACAAGTTCATTGATCCATGAGCGGTTCGGCTGACCCACTCAGCCGAAATCTGAGGGTCAACCTTCCAGGTATTTGATGCAAAACCAGGTCTTCCCGTTGTATTTGTCCAGCAAACAACAGGCATCCCCCCAGGGATGATGGTGACGACATCCTGGCAGGTGAAACGGCACCTGCGGAAGGCTGCTGGTGATTGGTTGCCGTGTGAATCAACCAACGAGCTATCCATGGCCTACTTGGTGATTTCCCAAACAAAACGGTGCCTACCAATGGCCAACCAATGGGTTTCCGATTCTAGATTTTCTGTCTGAGCTCTTGACACTCGCATCACTAGAATGTATCCACTGCCCTGAAACTGCTGGCTATTGAGCCTGTTTCATCTAAACAGTCAAGTCAATAGTCTCAGAGTGACGTCAGCTGTCTCAGACTTTGGAGGTGAACGAACACCGCCAGAACCTGGGGAAGGCGTGATGCTTTAAGCTGTTTGATATCCTTGGATGTTGCAGACTTAAAGAGCCAACTTTCGATGTTTCGCATTTTAGGTAGCACTGAGATATTTCTACTTACAGCATGTATATTTTTGCAGTATGCGGCAGGCCACACTGCACCGCCAGACCCTGGGGAAGGTTTGCGTCCTTGCTGTGATCTGCACTTTGGACAGTTACGGACAGTTGCATGGATTGTTGGCCTTCAGATAATGTATCCACTGCCCTGAAACTGCTGGCTATTGAGCCTGTTTCATCTAAACAGTCAAGTCAATAGTCTCAGAGTGACGTCAGCTGTCTCAGACTTTGGAGGTGAACGAACACCGCCAGAACCTGGGGAAGGCGTGATGCTTTAAGCTGTTTGATATCCTTGGATGTTGCAGACTTAAAGAGCCAATTTGCGATGTTTCGCATTTTATGTGGCACTGAGATATTTCTACTTACAGCATGTAAATTTTTGCAATATGCGGCAGGCCACACTGCACCGCCAGACCCTGGGGAAGGTTTGCGTCCTTGCTGTGATCTGCACTTTGGACAGTTACGGACAGTTGCATGGATTGTTGGCCTTCAGATAATGTATCCACTGCCCTGAAACTGCTGGCTATTGAGCCTGTTTCATCTAAACAGTCAAGTCAATAGTCTCAGAGTGACGTCAGCTGTCTCAGACTTTGGAGGTGAACGAACACCGCCAGAACCTGGGGAAGGCGTGATGCTTTAAGCTGTTTGATATCCTTGGATGTTGCAGACTTAAAGAGCCAACTTGCGATGTTTCGCATTTTAGGTAGCACTGAGATATTTCTACTTACAGCATGTATATTTTTGCAGTATGCGGCAGGCCACACTGCACCGCCAGACCCTGGGGAAGGTTTGCGTCCTTGCTGTGATCTGCACTTTGGACAGTTACGGACAGTTGCATGGATTGTTGGCCTTCAGATAATGTATCCACTGCCCTGAAACTGCTGGCTATCGAGCCTGCTTCATCTAAACAGTCAAGTCAATAGTCTCAGAGTGACGTCAGCTGTCTCAGACTTTGGAGGTGAACGAACACCGCCAGAACCTGGGGAAGGCGTGATGCTTTAAGCTGTTTGATATCCTTGGATGTTGCAGACTTAAAGAGCCAATTTGCGATGTTTCGCATTTTATGTGGCACTGAGATATTTCTACTTACAGCATGTATATTTTTGCAGTATGCGGCAGGCCACACTGCACCGCCAGACCCTGGGGAAGGTTTGCGTCCTTGCTGTGATCTGCACTTTGGACAGTTACGGACAGTTGCATGGATTGTTGGCCTTCAGATAATGTATCCACTGCCCTGAAACTGCTGGCTATCGAGCCTGTTTCATCTAAACAGTCAAGTCAATAGTCTCAGAGTGACGTCAGCTGTCTCAGACTTTGGAGGTGAACGAACACCGCCAGAACCTGGGGAAGGCGTGATGCTTTAAGCTGTTTGATATCCTTGGATGTTGCAGACTTAAAGAGCCAATTTGCGATGTTTCGCATTTTATGTGGCACTGAGATATTTCTACTTACAGCATGTAAATTTTTGCAATATGCGGCAGGCCATACTGCACCGCCAGACCCTGGGGAAGGGCCGTCGCTCAGGGCATTAGCAGGCTGGGCTGTGCCATAGACAAGGGATGAAATGGATGGTTTCATACAAACAATGGCTAATTGGTGCCCCATTGTTGATTGTTCAGACATGCCGGGCCAGATCTTTTGTGGTGATGGATAATTTCTATAGGATGGGCAATTTTTGGACAGTAACCAGCCGCAATGGGGGAAAACATCAATCCAAACTTCAATGTGTTCGATGGTTTGATGCTGGTGCATTGGATTCTTGGGTCCCTGGCTTGGACCAACAAAGTGAGAGCAAGGACTGATTCAACAACTGGATACTGGTGATAGACGAGCTGTTTATTGTAACAGGCTCTCTGACGAGCTCGTTCCCTGAGGGAATTGCTGAGTCAATAGAGATCAAGAAACCGAAACGGCGGAATCCTAATATGGTAGCCATTTCCTGCATAGCTACAGTCCATGTACGATGGTAAGCCATTACTTCACCACATTCGTTGGGGGAAATTGACAAGAGGCAACATCAGCGGCAACATCACGTAAAACTTTATCCTTGTGGCTCATTAATTACCAACGGCTGGTGAAACCTGAAGCATGGGATGATGATCAAAACATGTTACCCTCCTGTAAACGAACATAGATGTGGGACATTTTCATTTTTTAAATAGGCAATCATCAAGAAATGGACAATTTTCCACATCTATGTCTATGTTAGGTTACCCCAGGGTATCTTTATCATTGAAACACACTCCCAAAGCCCGCAAGGTGTACCGATGCCACCAGCACCAGAAGGCGCCTTTGGGCCATGTGAAAAAAGAAAAAATCAACAGCCCTGCTGGTTGGTTACTATGGTGGGTCATATGATCTAGTACCCTAGTACTACCTGGTTGACATGGGGAGATTCTTGCGACCAACTTTTAGCAATAGCTATTGAGCAAGGTTGGTGTCCTGGGACGCTGAATTGGTAGCTGAATGTTTTTGCTAGGAGAATGCAGCTCCAGATTGATTTGGGGGGTTCTTAAAATGGGGGATCCCCAAGTCACCATGGGGTTCAATACTACAACTGGTTAGTGGTTTGGAACATGACTTGTATGACTTTTCCATATTGGGAATGTCATCATCCCAACTGACGAACTCACTCCATCATTTTTCAGAGGAGTAGGTCAACCACCAACCAGAAAATAATTAACCATTATTAACCATTATTAACCATCATTAACCACCATTAACCACCATTAACCATTATTAACCTTAATTTTGGGATTTGGGACACCCCCATTTGTGGCACCGGAAAGCAGCGACAAGACCCCGGGACCGTTGGGACCGTGTTGGGACCGTTGGGACCTGGGAGATTTTCATCGACTCCTTCGACCCAGCCAGGTCGAAGTCCTCGTGCTCCTTCGAAAAGCTCGGACTCCCAGGAACTTGGACAGCCTTGGGGGTACCCCAATGGCTGGATACGTGATGGAAAATCCATGAAAATCCATCTAGATAGGTTTTAGGGGTAACCCGAATTTTCAGGAAACCCTCCATGTTGCTGATGGAACATGGAATACATTTATTTTGATCCCCAAGAATGCTACGAAAAAGACTTGGTCAGCTGGTGAATTGGCCAAAACCTCAGCGGAGCCCTCTAGATGCTGTGGGCTGATGCTTAAGCCTTGGGTTTTACTCCATGCTTAGCTGGAATGATGAATACTTCAATGGACTGGTTTAAGGGAAAATCTACAGGAAATAATAGATTTTCCCATTAAATATGGGCTTTCCTGTAAATTTTCCCTTAAACCAATCCATTGAAGACTGGCACTCCACTTGGGTCCCACCAAATGGCGCAAGCTGATCGACAGCTGAGGTCCCATGTTGATGGCCGAAGAGTCTGGATCCTCATCACTCTCCCAAGTACCACTGCCACAAAGCACTACTCAAAGCAGTGGAAAGACGCATACAGTTTTCAGATATTGTACAATGATCGCAAAGGACCTAGATCTCCATATCTTTCAACGTTGATACTGTATCAAGGTATCTGAATTTTAGGGCTGGAAGAATACTTCCACTGTGGACATTTCACATTTTTTTTCGTGGTTCCACTGAAGCTTGGAAAGGATTCTGGAGGTTCCAAGATTTAAGGATATCTCCATATATTCATCACATTCGATGTTTGCTGATGTTTGTGTAGCTCATTCATTATAGTCCCAGGACCTACTGAACGGAACATTTATATATATCATTTATGGACAGGAAATTGTCAAGAATAAATTGGAACCCTCTTCAACCTGGCGATATATCATGGTTTTCTTGGCCCCTCTATACCTGTTATGGGGTCATAAATCGGGACTCATATGGGGCTGGGAAGAAGAGACCAATCTCTCAGTTGATGTCCATGGATTTCCTTGACCTGGGAACGCTGGGATAACTTGTAGCCATGTAAAGATGGAATGTACAATTTTCAACAATCTTTCGGTGGCTAAGACTAGCTTTTTCCTGATCTTTTTAGTCAGTATTCTTTAAGATGGCTCAACCAGCAATAGGTCAATAGGCTAAAATTCATAGGCATGAAGATGCCAATTGCCATATATATAGATATCAGCAATTAGACATATATAGATATCCAATTTTTGTTGCTTGAAAACTGCCCCAACTCATTGGATGGGTACGGTGTGCGTGAGCCACAACTCATTGGAGGCGATCGGTTGGAGGGATGGTAAGTGACATAACATCATAATCCCTATATTTACCTATCATATCTTATCTCTATATGTTATCACTGATATTATCCCTATCTATCTACCTATCTACCTATCTATCTACCTATCTACCTATCTACCTATCTATCTATCTACCTATCTATCTACCTATCTACCTATCTACCTATCTACCTATCTATCTATCTATCTACCTATCTACCTATCTACCTATCTATCTATCTATCTACCTATCTACCTATCTACCTATCTACCTATCTACCTATCTATCTATCTACCTATCTACCTATCTAATTAATCTAATTAATCTAATTAATCTAATTAATCTAATTAATCTAATTAATCTAATTAATCTAATTAATCTAATTAATCTAATTAATCCAATTTATCTAATCTATCTAATCTATCTAATCTATCTAATCTATCTAATCTATCTAATCTATCTAATCTATCTAATCTATCTAATCTATCTAATCTATCTAATCTATCTAATCTCTCTAATCTCTCTAATCTATCTAATCTATCTAATCTATCTAATCTATCTAATCTATCTAATCTATCTAATCTATCTAATCTATCTAATCTATCTAATCTATCTAAATCTATCTAATCTATCTAATCTATCTAATCTATCTAATCTATCTAATCTATCTAATCTATCTAATCTATCTAATCTATCTAATCTATCTAATCTATCAATCTATCTATCTATCAATCTATCAATCTATCTATCTATCTATCTATCAATGTATCTATCTATCTATCTATCTATCTATCTATCTATCTATGCATCTATCTATCTGTCTGTCTATCTATCTATCTATCTATCTAATCTAATCTATCTATCTATCTATCTATCTATGCATTTTTCTATCTATCTATGCATTTGTCTATCTATCTATGCATTTGTCTATCTATCTATGCATTTGTCTATCTATCTATGCATTTGTCTATCTATCTGTTATTATGCATTTGTCTATCTATCTATGCATTTGTCTATCTATCAATGCATTTGTCTATCTATCTATGCATTTGTCTATCTATCTATGCATTTGTCTATCTGTCTATGCATTTGTCTATCTATCCATCTATCTATCTGTCTGTCTATCTATCTATCTATCTATCTATATATATATCATTCCCAAATCCCTTTCAGTTTTGGATGCTTTCCCCAGCGCCATCCATGGCAATCCTCAACGAGGCCTGGTGAGGACCCGGCGGAACTGCATGGCTTGGGCCCGGTCCATCAGGCGGCGATACATAGCACGGGTCGTAAGAAACGGGCGTGAGGAACTCATCGTTGGATGTGGATCCCATTTTCGACACGTGGTTTATCACATGTTTATCATCTACTGGTTGGTGTGGAACATGACTTTTATGACTTTCCATAGATTGGGAATAATCATACCAACTGACTTTCATATTTTTCAGAGGGGTAGGTCAACCACCAACCAGTATATATATATAACCCATGTAATCCCATGTACGTATATATATATATAACTGGGGATATTCTATATATAACTGGGGGTATAACGGTATAACCCATTTACTGAGTGGGATACACCCCAAGTAGTGGTGATTTTTTCGTCA